CCAATATAGGGCTTCGCCGCGCCTTGTCTTTGCTTCATTCCATGCCGCACATATGGCGCGCACTACCGGCGCAACAGGTCGTTGGAGTCGGGGGGGGCCTCTTGGGCCAGAGCGCGATCAGCATCGGTTTTGCTCATCTTTTTTTGGCCATGGCCATGAGCGCGCCGATTATGTCGTGTGAGAGCCCGGAAATCACGCCAATGACCGACTTGGAGCAGAGACAAAACAGCCGTTGCGGCAAAAGGTCGCACCGAGAGTCGAACTCGGGTCGTTGGATTCAAAGTCCAAAGTGCTGAACCACTACACCATGCGACCCGAGCTTCGCAAAAATTTTAGCATATATCAATCCTGGCATCCAAAGTCACGTGAGATCACGTGCCACCGAGTTGCGGAACCGGTTGCTCACCTCGACGCACCGCTGCTGCGTCGCAAGCCATGTCGGCCCGCAAGAGAAACCAGCGACAGATCGAACAGCATCCACGAAGGTGCTGCGAAATTTGACCGCGTACAAGCAACCAACATGAATCTTGATCACAAATCAGACCACCCTCCAAATTGTATCTGTTTCAGCACAAATGGCGGGCAATGGAATCTTGTGCTCAATTGTTTTTGACGCTTGGCAAAAGTATGTTCCTCTGCCGACATGACCTTCCGATGGCCGCCATGTCTGACATTTACGTCAATAGTCAGACGGCGGATACTGCGATCGGCTTGATGCAACAATCGCCAGATCTCAGCGGACGGCTGGCGCTGCTTTTGGCAAGCAATTTCCAAAAGCAGGACGTCGGAAAGCGAAGCCCTCACGGCCACGGCCGGCTAAGCATGCTCAATGCCAGCGCAAAACTTGGCCGCTGCCGATTGCGGACCCGCATGTTGGATGTGCCGCGGTTCCGAACCGCAACGGCGGCATCCTAATTGACACAAATACAGAATGGATGCTGCGGAACTCGGCGAGGTTCAGGCGAGCGCACTCGGGGCGCGATAAGCAGCAGCGCAGGTCCAGCCCGCTCACCCGAGAAGCGCCTTTGTGAAACACATGCCCCGCGTCGAGGCCTTGTTGCCGGACGTCGCCGACCGATCGCATCGTCCCAGAAACGGCGATCTTGGCCGGCGCCGCCGCTTTCCCGCTCACAGGCAAAATGTCATACTCGGACGCCTCCAGCCAGCAGCTCTTTGAGCTGCTCGCTCAGCTGCTCGACCAGCTGGCGTCGCAGGACAACACGGTGCGCTCGGCGGCCGAGGAGCAGCTCAACAACCACTGGCTGGTCCACCAGTCGCCCGCGCTCCTCGCCGGCCTGGCGTATCTCTCTGCGCACCACCCGAGCGTCGAGGTGCGTGGTGTGTGCTCGGGTTGTCGCTGCGGGGCAGTCCGGGGGGAGGCTGCGCGGCATTGCGCCGTGCGGCCAAGTCACGCGGACGAGCGGCGCCTGCGTGCTGCAGCGGCCGCGCCTCGGCCCGTCCTGCCGCCCGCCGCCCCGCCCCCTGCGGCGCGGCGCCGTCCGCTGGTCGCCCGCTCGGTGCATCGTCTCACGTTCAACATTTTTTTTTTTCGAACGACGCAACGCTGGCTCTTTGGCGCCGCCGGTCTCTGCCTCCGACGACGGATACACAATCGCCGACGCCCCGCCCCGCCCCGCACGCTCGCGATCGCAGGTCCGCTCCTTCGCGGCAGTGCTCCTGCGCCGCGTCGCCCTGCGCAGCCCCGAGGGCGCCAAGAACAACGCAACCTACTTTATCGCGAGCGGCGAGGAGTCTCGCACGTTTGTGCAGTCGCAGCTCCTGCAGTCGCTCCTCAACGAGCAGCAGGCCACGGTCCGCAACAAGGTCTGCGACACCGTCTGCGAGCTCGCCGAGGAGCTCCTGTCGCACGGCGGTACGTTTCTGCTCGCACGCCCTGGAACTGCCCCTGGTGCTCGGGGCAGCAGCCTCTTATTTTTTTTCTCGCACTGGCGCCACGCATCGTCCAAGATGCTGACGGGACTGGCTGCCCTTGGCCGCTGCCCTTGGCCGCCGCAGGCCCGTGGGCCGAGCTCGTCCAGGCGATGCAGCACTTTTCAAAGTCCGCCGACGCGGCGCACCGCCAGACGGCGTACCAGATTGTCGGCGGCGTGCCCTCGCTCTTTGTCGACGAGAACCCCGCCACCGTCCTGGCCATCCTCGGTGCCGGCATCCAGGACCAGCACGTTGACGTGCGCCTGGCCGCCGTCAAGGCATCGTCTTACTTCCTCATCGAGGCCGACGACAAGGCTCGCCAGAGCATGGCCGGACTTGTGCCCCAGATGCTCAACGTGAGGGCGTTGCTGGTGCCGCGCCGTGGCTCGTGCAGAGTGCTCACTCGCCGGTCGTTGCTTTTGCGGACTCGGATCCACGCACGCAGGTTTTGCCGCCGATCCTCAGCGACTCGACGCAGGAGGAGGCCGCCAACGAGGCCTTGGGCTACTTGATTGACCTCGCCGAGAGCCACCACGAGCTTTTCCGCAGCAGCATCCCGCAGCTTCTCGAGTTCATGATCGCCACGATGCGCAACGCGGACCTCGAGGACAGTGAGTATCGGCGGCTTACGCCTGTCCTGTTGGCTGTTATGCATCTTGCTGACGGCACGCCGACGGCACGCTTTCCGTGGACTCGCAAGACACGCGCCAGACGTGCCTCGAGCTGCTGCTCACCCTCGCCGAGGTGGCGCCGCGCGTCATGCGCAAGCACCCGGCGTTCTGCCAGGGCGTGATCCCGCTCATGATCGACTGGATGTGCGAGCACGAGGACGACGACGAGTGGTACGAGACCGAGGACCTCGACGACATTGACCAGGAGGCCAACGAGACGGTTGGAGAGCAGAGCATGGACCGCATTGCCCGCTACATGGGCGGCAAGATTGTCCTGCCGATTGCATTCAACATCATCCCCGTCTACCTCTCGTCGAACGAGTGGCAGCGCCGCCACGCCGCCCTGCGCTGCATCTCTGCCATTGGCGAGGGCTGCCACACGATCATGAACGCCGAGCTCGACAAGGTCGTTTCCCTTGTCCTGCCGCACCTGCGCGACCCGCACCCGCGTGTGCGCCACGCCGCGTGCAACGCCATTGGCCAGATGTGCACCGACTTTGCGCCCAAGATCCAGGACAAGTTCCATGAGGCCATCCTGACCAGCCTTATCCCCGTCATGGACGACGAGAAGCTGCGCGTCAAGACCTATGCGGCCGCGGCGCTTGTCAACTTTTCCGAGAATGCCAAGAAGGAGTGCATCGCGCCGTATCTCGACGCCATCATTCCCAAGCTGCTCGGCCTTCTCAACACGGGCAAGATCTACTCTCAGGAGCAGGCGGTCACTTCGCTTGCCACGGTCGCCGACAGCGCCGCCGATCAGTTCACCAAGTACTACCAACCCATGATGACGGTCCTCATGAACATCCTGCGCGTGCCCAACAACAAGGAATACCGCAGCCTCCGCGGCAAGGCGCTCGAGTGCGCGACGCTTATCGGTGCGCTGTGCCCTTGTCGTCCACCCTTTATGCACTCGGCGCTGCTGACACTGTTTGCTGCACTGCGCACGGCCTGATCTCTCAGCCATGGCCGTCGGCAAGGATGTCTTTGGCCCCAACGCCACCGAGTTTATCGAGGTCCTGCAGCACGTCCAGGGCCAGGTTACCGACTCGGACGACCCGCAGAGCTCGTACCTCCTAAGCGCCTGGGCCCGCGTGTGCAAGATCCTCGGCCAGGACTTTGCGCCATACATGGGCATCGTCCTCCCGCCCCTGTTTGCCAGCGCGCAGCTCAAGCCTGACATTGCCATCTTTGAAGGTGCGCGGCATACGGATGTGTTTTGTGTGCTCGAACGCTCTTTGTGTTTGCTGACGCTGCGCTTCTCGCAACGGCGTCTCTTTCGCCTGCAGAAGAGGACCCCAATGACGAGGAGGGCTGGGAGATGCTCCAGATGCACGGTCAGCGCGTGGGCATCAAAACCTCGATCCTTGAGGAGAAGTGCACGGCCGTCGAGATGCTGCTCTGCTACGCCAAGGAGCTCGGACCTCTGTTCCACCAGTATGTCGAGGAGACCATGCGCATGATTCTGCCGCTCCTCACCTTTTATTTCCACGACGGCGTGCGCTTTGCCGCTGCGGCCGTGATCCCGCTGCTCTTTGAGTCCTGGGCCAAGGCCAACTACCCGCGCGAAAAGGTCACGCCGCTGTGGCACGAAGTGGCCATGAAGCTCATCGAGACTCTCAAGGGAGAGACGGATCTGCAAATGGTCGGCCAGATCTACGACACCTTCCAGGAGACGCTCGAGGCCGTTGGGCCGATGAGCCTCAACGAGGCCATTCTCACCGCGTTTGTCAAGCAGACGCTCGCGCAGCTCTCTGAGTTTGTCAGCCGCTGCGAGCTTCGCCAGAGTGAGTCTATTTCGCTCTCTCGCCTGCCCTGCGCCTTGTCGAGCCACGGTTAGGAGACAGCCCCGAGCCAGTGATGATCCACGTTCTGCAATGCTCAGGTTCCGTGCGTGCCTCGATCGGGGCAGCATGGTTCGATGCCGAGCAATCATATACACTACACTTGATCTGACGGCTCGGGCTGTCTCTGTCGGGCCTGGCTTGCGCTGGCGCGGCCCTGTTGCTGCCGCTGCTGTGATGCACGGGATGCTGACACTTGCGCAGAGCTTCGCGACGACCCCGACTACGACCCCGAGGAGGAGGAGGCGATCCAGGACGACGAGTTCAGCGATGAGACGCTGACCGACTGCGTGAGTTTGGCGGTCCCCAGGCCCGATCGGCAACGACCCTGCGTGCTGATCGCATCCACCCGCGCAGATTGCCCATGCTGTGCGCGCCATTTTCAAGACTCACCACGCGACGTTCCTCCCGTACTTTAACGAGATGGTGCCCACTCTCGAGTCGTTCCTCGTCAGCAAGGAGGCAGCAGCTCGCCGCCTCAGCCTCAGCATCTTCCAGGATCTCATTGAATTCACCACTGTCGAGTCTGTCCAGTACCAGCCGCGCTTCCTCGAGCGCATGCTTGGCGCGATCCTCGACAAGGACCCCAATGTCCGCCAGACGGCCGCCTACGGCATCGGCTCGGCGGCCAAGCTCGGCGGCGAGACGTACCGCGCCGTCACCATCTCGGCGCTGCCCAGCCTCGCTGCCGTCATCCGCGACCCCAACGCGCGCAAGGAGGAGAACACACTCGCGACCGAAAACGCCGTTGCCGCCGTCGGCAAGATCTGCAAGGCACACGGCGCAAGCGGCGCCTTTGACATTAACCAGGTGCTGCCGGCATGGTTCGACGCCTTGCCCATTGTTGAGGACCAGGAGGAGTTTGACGACG